TTGTTTGATAGAGCCTGTTCATATACGTTAATAGTAATTGCAAGGTATCGTCCTTGCCTTATAGCACCGGCTTCAGCAGAATTCAATTTCTAAATGAAATTGTAAAAGTTTTTTGAATTTCGAAACATCCTGAGATGTTTTCATGTGGCGGTCATTATGGAATATTCGATGTCACACGAAAGTGACTTTCCATGAAAAACAACATATGGTCTCCAAATGAAAAAAAACAAATCGTGTGCCTTTAACAAGAAAACAATGGGCGAAACAAAATAAAATGGATTTTTTTTGAAAAGGGATCACATGTTACGAAGCATGCATATTACAGATAAGCGGTCAAATACAAAATTAAAAATCCAGGCACTATGTCCTTAGGTGATTAAGTGAAGAATACTGGTATCTACCGACTAAAAACACCAAACTGAAAAAAAACTTTATTTACGAAAAAAAAACTCTCATGGGTATTTAAATCATCATCACTGTTTATTATGACGGAAACGGTAGCTTACATGTACGCATAAATATGATGTCATTCAAGACCAGTTATCATCCAGCTCTGTAGTGTTTCAATGCTCTTAACTGAATATGTTGACAACATGAAGTTTTTAATAAATTTGATATTCTGCTGTTGATTTTTTTGCTGTCAGAAAGCCATTTTAGAAAGCTCATGCAAAGGGTTGATTATTATACCATATTTGTCTTTAATAAGTATGTGCGTGCGCGTTTCATGTTTACAATGCCTATCAAAGTCAGGCTACTTTATATGGTTTTTTCACAAATGAAATAAAATACTTTATTTTTTAGTTTTGATGAAAGAAGTTTCCATTAAATATTCTACATGTATACTAGGAAAGGAAATGCCCTGCAAAAACTAATGAGTTTGATATTTCATTTGTAGTAGATTTACTAATTTTGCAGATCGTTTTTCTCTACTGGCAGAATATTACATGTATAAGAAGACTCATGTAACGTTATCGAAGTAAATTGAAGCATTTCAATATGCCTTAAATGTTAAATATGTTGAAAAACATTTAAACTCATTAATAATAGGTAAAGGTTTACTACAAGTGCTCGAATCCTCACCGAATTATGTTGCCACATATGCTGAAAGTTGAGAGCCCTATCAGACAGTCCAAGCAGATCACTTAATCTTCGACCTTTAATAGATCCAAAGTGCATGTCATTGATAATTAACATTAGACGTTGATTAAACACATTTTGTCATTTTGAAAACACAATAAAAACGACAACAAATAAGAAGAAAAGAAAAAAAAAGAAAAGAAAAAGAAAAGAAAAAAGAAAGAAGAAACCCCTCCAAAAAAAACACCAACAAAAAAACAACTTTTATGAACAAAGTATCCTTAATTCCTGCTTTGCGAAAAACACTGAATTAGTTTTAACATGGGGATTAGCTGAAAAGAAAAAAATGTTTTAAAAAAAAGTTATGAAAAGCCCCAAGAACAGTTAAAAGCAAAACAGCCCCTTTAACTAAAACCAAGGGGAAAAAGCATGTATTAGAAATTATTTTTAAATGGGTTTAAATACAATAAGATACTTTTTCAAAAATTTCTTTTTTTTTAAAAAAACTTTTTCTTAATAACAGCAACAATTTTTTTCTTTGATTTTTATTAAACAAGAGGGCCAGAGGGGCCCAAAGTCGCCCACCGATAATATAAATATGTTATATCTAAAAAAAAATGGAGCGATGAATGACCCCCGGGGGGGCCCCAATTTTGACCCCCGGGTTTATTAACGGGAAATTGGGAGACACCATTTGAAGATTTTCATTTTTTATTATTATTTTTCTTTAAAAAATTTTAAATTTTTACTATATACATATAGGGAAAATCAATGACCCCCAGGGCGGGGCCGATTTTAATTCTAGGTGAACGAAAATTTTGAACATCTTTGGTTTTGGACCTATAGATGATACCATAGACCAAATATCAAAGCTCTAGGCCATTTACTTTCAGACCAGAAGATTTTTCAAGTTTCCACTATATGTATATAATGAAAATCAATGACCCCCGAGGGCGGGGCCAACTTTGACCCGAGAGCCATTATTTGAACAATCTTGGTAGAGGTCTACAATACAATGTTTCATGCCAAATATCTTACCTGTAGCCTTTGCCAATTCAGAGAAGAAGATTTATTTATGTTTTACTATATACATATAAGGAAAAACCTATGACCCCCCGGGGCGGGGCCAACTTTGACACTAGGGACAAAACTTGTACAACTTTGGTATTGGACCTTCAGATGATACCATAGACCAAATATCAAAGCTCTAGGCCATTTACTTTCAGACCAGAAGATTTTTCAAGTTTTCACTATATGTATGTAATGAAAATCAATGACCCCCCGGGGCGGGGCCAATTTTGACCCTAGGGCCATTATTTGAACAATCCTGATAGAGGTTTACTACACAATGTTTCATGCCAAATATCTAATCTGTAGCCTTTGCCAAATCAGAGGAGAAGATTTTTTTTAGATTTTACTATATACATATAAGGAAAAACATATGACCCCCCGGGGCGGGGCCAATTTTGACACTAGGGACAAAATTTGAACAACTTTGGTAGAGGACCCATAGATGATACCATATACCAAAAATCAAAGCTCTGGCCTATGTACTTTCAGACAAGAATTTTTTTTTAATTTTGTGTTTTTTGAAATCCTTTTCTGGTCCTATGACCTACATATGCAACAGACCGGAACCATTTGAACAACTTTGAAAGGGGACCACCCAAGGATCATTTCTGTAAAGTTTGGTTGATGTGCAGTCATTGGTTTCAGAGGAGATGTTGTTAATGTTAAAAGTTGACGACGCACGACGCACGACGACGGACACAGGGCCATCAAAATAGCTCACCCTGAGCATTGCTCATGTAAGCTAAAAAAACTGTCAGTATTTTTGTCATAATTATATTTTTATTCGGTGTGTGTAGATTTAAAAACGTTACATATCTTTTTGGTACATAAGCGTATTTTTCCATTGTCAAATTAAATGTATAGCACTTATCATTATTTTAAATATCAATTTTCAGCATTATAGATCTTTAAACTTTAAAAAATAAACTTGGTAATAAGCAGTGTTGCAAAGGTCTAAGAATAGTAACTCATAATGTATAATAAAGAAATAATGCAATGAATGTATTACAATATCATTATGAAAGACTTTCTGCTATGCTTAAAATGCATGGTTTGCATTAATTTATTGAAACATTTTGATAATAACATAACGACCATATAGTTCAAGTTGAAACAAACCAATTTTTGTCATCACATAATTAATACGCGTAATTCTTTCTCTCGTTAATTGAATTGGATGTCTGCGCTGAGTCATGGATCTCTGTTCTCTGTCGTCTGCAGTGCCAGTATAAATGCTTGCCATATTTAAATCGGCATTACTTTGTCGGGACACCTGCAAATCACAAAGATATCGTATATATGAGCTTTAATTTCGGTTATTATTAACATTTATTTACGAATGCTATAAATAATAACATATACATGTATTAAGTCTTAATGAAAATATTCACATCTAATGCTAAAGAAACAATATTTTATTAAACATATGACTAGGCTATTTTGGACTGAACCCCATATTATGTTTATAACAAAATAGAGAAAAACAGAAACCCTAAAGAAAGCAAAACACGGAAAAATTGAAAATTTTGCAGCCTTTGTTTGATAGAGCCTGTTCATATACGTTAATAGTAATTGCAAGGTATCGTCCTTGCCTTATAGCACCGGCTTCAGCAGAATTCAATTTCTAAAATGAAATTGTAAAATTTTGAATTTCGAAACATCCTGAGATGTTTTCATGTGGCGGTCATTATGGAATATTCGATGTCACACGAAAGTGACTTTCCATGAAAAACAACATATGGTCTCCAAATGAAAAAACAAATCGTGTGCCTTTAACAAGAAAACAATGGGCGAAACAAAATAAAATGGATTTTTTTTGAAAAGGGATCACATGTTACGAAGCATGCATATTACAGATAAGCGGTCAAATACAAAATTAAAATCCAGGCACTATGTCCTTAGGGTGATTAAGTGAAGAATACTGGTATCTACCGACTAAAAACACCAAACTGGAAAAAAAACTTTATTTACGAACAAAAAACTCTCATGGGTATTAAATCATCATCACTGTTTATTATGACGGAAACGGTAGCTTACATGTACGCATAATATGATGTCATTCAAGACCAGTTATCATCCAGCTCTGTAGTGTTTCAATGTCTTAACTGAATATGTTGACAACATGAAGTTTTTAATAAATTTGATATTCTGCTGTTGATATTTTTGCTGTCAGAAAGCCATTTAGAAAGCTCATGCAAAGGGTTGATTAATAGACCATATTTGTCTTTAATAAGTATGTGCGTGCGCGTTTCATGTTTACAATGCCTATCAAAGTCAGGCTACTTTATATGGTTTTTTCACAAATGAAATAAAATACTTTATTTTTTAGTTTTGATGAACGAAGTTTCCATTAAATATTCTACATGTATACTAGAAAAGGAAATGCCCTGCAAAAACTAGTGAGTTTGATATTTCATTTGATGTAAATTTGCTGATTTTGCAGATCGTTTTTCTCTACTGGCAGAATATTACAAGTATAAGAAGACTTACGTAACGTTATCGAAGTAAATTGAAGCATTTCAATATGCCTTAAATGTTAAATATGTTGAAAAACATTTATACTCATTAATAATAGGTAAAGGTTTACTATAAATGCTTGAGTCCTCACTAAAATATGTTGACTCATATGCTGAAGGTTGAGAGCCATATCTAACAGTTCAAGCAGATCACGAAATATTCGACCTTAAATAGATCCAAAAGTGCATGTCATTGATAATTAAAACACAATAAAAACGACAACAAAAAAGATAAAGAAAAGAAAAAAAAGAAAGAAAAAGAAATGAAAAAAGGAAAGAAGAAACCCCTCCAAAAAAAACACCAACAAAAAAACAACTTTTATGAACAAAGTATCCTTAATTGTCCTGCTTCTGCTTGCATAAATGTACACTGAATGTAGTTTCAACATGGTAATTAGCTGAAATAATGACAAGAATGTTTAAAATAAAGTTATGAAATGCTTCCTATTAGAACTAGTTAAGGGACATAATATCAGCCTCCTGTAACTATTTATTAACTTAAATGGAAATAACAATGATATGCATGTACTTAGAAGAATATTTTTAAATCGGTTAAACACAATAAGATACGTTTTTATAATTCATTTTTAAAAATAACTGTCGAAATAACAGCACAATAATTGTCATTGTTTTGTTAACATTTATATTTTTTGGACAAACAAACCTGTGTTGAAAAAACCAGCTTCTTTAATCTCCGACGTTATTCTTAATGTTCTTTGAGTCTGCGCTGTAAGCCTAACGGATCGTCTTAATTCTTCTGGTCCATTATATAGATATCTGTATTGAGGCATATCCTGGTGTTCCCTACTGCCAAAAAATATATCTTCTGACCTGCTAGAATATGTTATTGGGATATTTGAACTGCTTTCACCTCTGATAAAACTGCAGTTTCGTGAATTTCTTTGATGGGCTTTATTTAATTCTTCATAATCGTTGGCATCATACTGTTCACCGCAGCAAAAACATTTAACAGTCTGATTTGTACCGGTATAGTAGAAACCTGCGCGTGCAAGTTTTAATGGAGACAGAGGTGCTGTGAGTGGATACAAATTGAAAGATTCGTACCTCTTCCATTCGTACTTCATTAATGCATGCATTACGAGATTATTTTCCAAATGATCTCGAAAATAATCTTCTAAAGGCATAACAGTCCAGCCTCGCCACTGAAAAAATTGCAGAGTTTCATGTACATTTATCACTTTGTATTTTGATCTGTAATGGGTCAATAATTTATAAAAACAGCCTGATACAACAACAGAATAGGAAAGCGATTTAACAAATATAAACAACAGCTGCTTTAAAGCCTTTCCCATTTGAAGATTTTCTGACCAAACTCTCCAACGGCACCCTGGGAGTAGTATATTGTCTTGATTCACCCTTGCCTGGTTTAAACTGGGACCTATTTGTTTACAAAAATGTGTCCACATAAAGACGAGTCCAAGAACTACGACCAGCGATGCTATGTATTTACTTGGTACCATCTTGGCAACCGCTTTACAAGTATCTACGTATCTAAAATATAAAAACATTTCAATCATATTCGTTAAATTACAACACTTAACACTCGCTATCTAAAACTATGCATCACGATTTATAAAGTTGTATTAATCTACGGAAGCGTCCTGGTGCCAATTCAAAATGTTCTATAAAAAAATAAACTCCTACGTAGGAGATAAAAAAGCCTAATTAGAAGTTTGTAACTCCTACGTAGGACTTTTAAACTCCTACGTAGGACTTTGTAAGTCCTACGTAGGACTTTATAACTCCTACGTAGGACTTTATAAGTCCTACGTAGGACTTTGTAACTCCTACGTAGGACTTTATAACTCCTACGTAGCAGATAAAAAAGCCTAATTAGGAGTTTATAACTCCTACGTAGGACTTTTAAACTCCTACGTAGGACTTTATAACTTCTACGTAGGACTTTATAAGTCATACGTAGGACTTTACAACTCCTACGTAGGAGATAAAAAAGCCTAATTAGAAGTTTGTTACTCCTACGTAGGACTTTTAAACTCCGACGTAGGACTTTTAAACTCCTACGTAGGACTTTATAACTCCTACGTATGACTTTATAAGTCCTACGTTGGACTTTGTATCTCCTACGTAGGACTTTATAACTCCTACGTAGGAGATAAAAAAGCCTAATTAGGAGTTTAAAACTCCTACGTAGGACTTTTAAACTCCTACGTAGGACTTTATAACTCCTACGTAGGAGATAAAAAAGCCTAATTAGGACTTTATTACTCCTACGTAGGACTTTGTAACTCCTACGTAGGACTTTTAAACTCCTACGTAGGACTTTATAACTCCTACGTAGAATATATATCAAAGAACTGAAAGCACAGAGTTCGACGGACATGTATGCTAGATTATAACTTAAGATAGAATATTATGTAGGAAAATAAATTATAATGTGTCAAGTTGTAATTGTGGCAAGCCACTTAAGTAAATACCTTTAGTCTGTAGCCAGAGATGATTTTGTCATTCTCTGCATATATTAAACGATGATTCTGTATTATGTACGTTTAGTTATAATTATTATACACATGTACACAAAATGTATGGGTTAAACTTTGTTCAAAGTAGGATATACAATGTACAGTAAAAACCCTCAATAAAGACCACCATCGGGACTGGACCAAAGTGGTCTTAATTGCGGGATGGTCTTAATTATGAGTATTCTTATTGCTTACACACTTTATGACCATGTTCTATTTTAGTAATTTTGTGTGAATAAACAATATGTATCTTAACCTGCAAATATTAAAGTATGTTATAATATTACATCTGATGGGAAGAGAACATTTCTGAAGCAATTTAATATCAAATTTTATTTGATCTGATTTCAATATTAATTAGTTTATTATGTACATAATACACCCATCAAATTAAGAAATAAATTCATAGCAAAATCAATGTGCTTAAAGCAACATTAAACCACTTTAAAATCTACTTTCTCACCTTATTTCATACAATATCTCAATAATAAAAGGTGTTTTTGACACCTTGTGTCTAAGAGCATTTAAGCAGAAAATAACAACATAACAACAAATAAAGATCTAGGTAGGTGTTGACTTTAAATCTGTGGTCTCAATAGTGGAGTCAAATAAAGAACAAAATAGAGAATTGGGACTGAATCTGGTGGTCTTAAAAGTGGATAAGCGAGGTAGTCTTAAATCTGGATCATGTAACCATTGACATAAAGAACAGAACATTCCGTTCTTATAAAAAATGGTCTTAATAGCGGGGTGGTCTTAATTCCGGGGTGGTCTTAGGGAGGGATTCTACCATAATTAATTATTAAACATATGCATGCATAATGCTCCGCAAACCGTTATCTTCTTAAACTTTACGGAGCAGGAACAAGAGACTTTACTACCACCCCCCTGCACCCTATAAGGATTTAATCATTTGAAACGGCCGAAAATGGATAAATTGCTCGTTTTGTTCAGCTAGTTCGTATTGAAATCGTAATCATTAAAGCCTTTTAAAATTTTTATATATATGCTTGATGTCGAGTAAGTTTTTTTCGAACAGCTGTAAAGCAATTTTTCGGGATACATCGCCAATGCTTGCAGACACCTCACCCTAAGACACTGTACACTCTAGAAACCTGAGACACTTTATTAAAAGGTGAAGTGTTGCGGCATGGCCGTGTGACTAGTAGCCTAATGATCGCTAGCCGCATGGGTTCAAACCCCGTTAGGCGCAAGCCGTTGTTTCCTTGAGCAAAATACTTTACACTCATTGCTAAGTACGTACTGGTTGGTTCCAGGAACGGATTCGAAAGTGTGTCTATAAGCTTATAGCTTCCTACACAATCAAGCTTAAATAAATTATGAAAATTCTTTATAAGTCCTACGTAGGACTTTATGACTTTATAAGAAATGCATACAGAATGCTTTGCAAATCTCAACATTCCGGACCGGTATATCGGCGAAGGAACAAGACACTTACCCCCCCCCCCCTCTAATCTTAAATATAGAGGACATTTCACCTTTGGTTCATACAGAATTTATTTAAGTTTGATTGTGTAGGAAGCTATAATGTCCTACGTAGAAGTTAAAAAGTCCTACGTAGGAGTTAAAAAGTCCTACGTAGGACTTTTAAACTCCTAATTAGGCTTTTTTTATCTCCTACGAAGGAGTTTTAAGTCCTACGTAGGAGTTATAAACTCCTACGTAGGACTTATAAAGTCCTACGTAGGAGTTTAAAAGTCCTACATAGGAGTTATAAACTCCTAATTAAGCTTTTTTTATCTCCTACGTAGGAGTTATAAAGTCCTATGTAGGAGTTAAAAAGTCCTACGTAGGAGTTTATAAGTCCTACGTAGGACTTATAAACTCCTAATTAGGCTTTTTTATCTCCTACGTAGGAGTTATAAAGTCCTACGTAGGAGTTAAAAAGTCCAACGTAGGAGTTAAAAAGTCCTACGTAGGTGTTTAAAAGTCCTACGTAGGAGTTTAAAAGTCCTACGTAGGAGTTATAAACTCCTAATTAGGCTTTTTTATCTCCTACGTAGGAGTTATAAAGTCCTACGTAGGACTTTGTAAGTCCTACGTAGGAGTTATAAAGTCCTACGTAGGAGTTTAAAAGTCCTACGTAGGAGTTACAAACTCCTAATTAGGCTTTTTTATCTCCTACGTAGGAGTTTATTTTTTTATAGAACATTATGAATTGGCACCAGGACGCTTCCGTATTAATCTGATCAATCGACTCATTTTGTAAAATACGCCTGATACTACCAAAAAAAACGATTATCGTCATTTAGTGCTTAACACCTGGTACAAAATTAAGGGGCCAATGGACATATCCGAATGATGGCCTCGGTCATTTTTTTTATAACACAGACATGGTACTCTCATACAAATTACTAAATACCAAAACTTGTACTAATAACAAAGAAGCAACAGATAAAGAATTGGTTCAGGTGATAGACCAGTGAGTAGATCTCTTTTAAAACATATAGTAGATCTCTTTTAAAACATTTAACAGACAAAAAAAAACAAACAAAACAGAATAAAGGCTTTTGAGAAGTAAAAATTAAAACATTGTGGGGCATAATGGATCTTAAATCATATTCATACGATTCAAGTGGATACAAATGTATGGAAGTTATAATTATAGATCATTAGGAGGAGGTGTAGTATAATAATATTTAAATCGATTTTAAACAAATATGTCTACAGATTACTGTATATCTAAATACAACTGCATACCATTGAATAATAAACGTTGTAAAATGGTTAATGATCGAATAAATGATAAGATTAATCAATTTACCCAACAGTTTTTATTATTTTTAACGATCAGCAGCTAATTTCAGGAACTTAAGATGAATAAATGAAAACTCCTTATAAAAAGCAGACACGTTTAAAATATTTTCTTACAAAGTAGGTCAAGAAATAAGTTCATTTTGTTTCCAAATAAATGTGAATATATATAAAAGTATAAACATGTACAAATTGACGTTATAGATATAATCTTGCTAAAAGAATTTACCTGTAAAAGACAGAATTTTATCTGAAAGGCGTATTTCACGTAAACCTTACAATTTTTTCCGTGTCAGCTGCGCATGTGCAAACAGTAACAAATGTCTCATACCAACAATATGCAAAATTTTACAGGTTGAACGTAACTAAATACTTCTCTTTCGTGCTTTTGTGAACAAGCCCCATAAATAATTTTTATTTCGAACCAGATATTGGAAGCCAAGTTTTTTTTAATCTTCAAATAGTATGTATAAATTAACTTCCCTACAAACAAAATTTAATTCTAAAAAGTCAAAATAAAAAGGTTGTTATTTTCTTTTAGAAACTTGTCAGTATTTGTAGGTAAAATAAATCAATTTTGCATAGTTAAGAAATACTTCTTTCCGGCTTATCATGCAATTTCTAACAAGTCATTTTGACGGTTTTGTATTTGATAACATTTTAAAATATGACATGTTAAATGTTGATGCTGCATATCAAAAACACCGCCAAATGCTGTGAACAATCACAGGTAATGTACAAAATCTCAATTGAAAATCGTTCTCTGTTACAGTCGAATATGCTAAGTACAAACCAATTTTTTCTCCATTTTCTTGTTATGT